CGACTTTGAGAAGGCCTTTGACAGCGTCGACCGAGAAGTAATTTGGAAACTGCTTCAATACTACGGAGTACCGCAAACCTTTATCCGCCTCATTCAACAACTATATGAAGATGCCACATGCCAAGTAATCCACAATGGGAAGCTCAGTGATGCCTTTGAAGTGAAGACAGGAGTGAAACAAGGTTGCCTACTATCCCCCATGATATTCCTTATTGTGGTGGACTGGATCATGCAGCAAACAGTAGGCAGCGAGAAGAGGGGGATACACTGGACGACGGAAAAGAACCTAGAAGACTTGGATTTCGCCGATGACTTATGCCTAATGTCACATAAACTTGAAGATCTGCAGGCAAAAACTAACAAGTTGACAGAAGAGGCAGCTAAGACGGGACTTCAGGTGAATATAGAGAAGACAGAAGTGATGAAGATACCGCACCACCACCATCAACAACAACAACAAACTCCAATCACCGTCAACGGGAGAAACTTGAAGGAAGTAACCTCCTTCACTTATCTAGGAAGCACTGTTTCAACTACAGGCGGGACGGACGAGGACGTCAAAGTCAGAATCGGAAAAGCAAGACAGGCGTTCATTAGCCTGAAACCAGTGTGGAGATCTTCTGCACTCAGCATGGGGAAACAAGATCCAGATTTTCAACACCAACGTCAAGTCAGTGCTTCTGTATGGCTCAGAGACTTGGCGCGTCACGAAAGGCATTTCCAATAAACTACAGACATTCATCAACAACTGCTTACGCTGCTCGCTACTGAAGATCAGATGGATTGCCAGAAAAATAAGCAACAAGGAACTCTGGGAACGAACCAACCAAGAACCTATCACGCAACAAATATGCAGGAGGAAGTGGAGATGGATTGGCCATGCACTGAGAAGGCCGACTGAGGACATCACGCGTCAGGCCAGTTGCTCGAGTGGAATCCCCATGGGAAGCGACGAGTTGGACGTCCGAGGGTGACATGGAGGAGGAAATGAGAGCTTCTGGGCTGTCGTGGGACCAGGTTCAAAAGATCTCAGAGAACAGAGGTCACTGGAGGCGTGCTACTGAAGCCCTATGTTCCACTAGGAACCCAAGGGACTAATAATAAAATAATAATAATTCATCACAGACTAAAATCAGTCGCAGGACCATGGAAAACCCAAGAGTTAAAATCATTGACTGATTAGGCAGTTAAAGTATGTGTCTTGCTTGGTCAATGCACCCAAATCGTACCCAATTTCTTCTAGCTCTGGATAACGGTCCGAGTTTACAAAATAGTATATCTGGTCTCCTGAAACCACTTTCCAAACCAGGAATTGAAGTTTCCAATGTTTGCACCGTCTGTCAAGTCGAACAACAATTTTCGTTGACTATTACCCTGGCTATAGAGGTGTGCTTCAGTTTCGAGATATGTATACAGGATCTAAGTGCGATTATTCACTTAACCCCAACCGAACTTCGTGGTGAATCTGTAAAATTCAATTTTCCAATTTGTGGAGACTGCAAGGCTAATTCCCGCCGTCTTGCAGACGTAGGACTAAAATATAAGTGGAAATCACCGTCGTCTCCTTGTAATCTCTACTTACCTACCAACTGACTGCAGTTAGAATGAAGTCAAGGATGATTTCTACCAAAAAATGTCTACTTTCCTAATAAAAGTCAAACGTTCAGGTATGATATTTGAAGTATATGACTTCAGTGCCCATTTGGGTAGCCTAAGTCAGACGGGAACGCAATTTTAGTACCTCAGAAGAACGAATACAGAGGGGATTGCTTACTACAACTGTGGTCAGACAACCATACACTTCTGGTCAGCGTGAACTTCAGACATAAGGATAGGCCGAACTCAACTCAACGCTGGATACCGATAAAACATATTGGTATCAGTTGTCGGTAGACAGGTTGGGTGGAAGATCACCACTCCTCTTAGAGTGGTAACCACATGCTCGCTCCACCACACTTGTTTTTGAGCTGAAATGGATGTGGGAAAATAACAGCGTCGACACCACTGCCAGTGCAATTTGATGATGAAAATACTGAGGCTGTTTTTAGTGGCAAACTGGCTCGATAGTTATCGAAACGTAGCAACATCAGTCATCCAGAAGAAGGCTGATACTATCTTCGATTTGCTGTAAAGGCAACGCTAAATACTATAGCTGACTCTCAAAAAGTGGTTAGAAAAGATTAGTGGGTCTCAACAGATGGATGCGTGTGAGCGCATTCCTGTAGGCTGCAAGCACAAAGATGAACGGAAGCAACTCAAATGTAAGCTGACAAGAAGTCTACACAATGACCGAGAGTGGTGGTGGGCAAGGCAGGCTAAACAGATCAGTAAAGTGGGGGCGATAGATAACAGCAGAGTCATTTAGATTTATCAAGCAAAGTGGTATAAAAGTCAGATTATGACGGCGAAGGATGGGTCTGTGATTCAGTGGTAAGGGAGAAGATTTCAATTGGAGCTACTATTTCTCTGCTTGGTATCCAGCCGACTCCCTAATAGAACATTCAGATAGGGCCTTCAGCACTTGCAGAAGTCGAGAAAGCTGTAGGTAACCTGAAATGAAGGCCTATTACTGGAGGTACTTAAAGATGATGGTAGAGGACTTTTTGTCAGCTTAGATGAAGTACTAGCTAGCGTATTAGCATCAGATACGATCTCCTGTGACTGGTCTGAATTACCAAATCTCCCAGTCTTCAAAAAGGGGAGAACTCCTCTCTTCATAAGCACACAGGAATCACTCTGACGAACAGTGCCCAATATTCTAGGTCCTATAGTTATTAGACGTCATGGTGGAGCTCCGTGGCAGACACCAGCCGAGTTCCAGACTTAGCCATGGGCTTATCGATCAGATGCTCGTCTTCTACCAGGTTCTGAAATACAAGGATACCTACCGATACACGATCTTGATCTGATAGTAGCATTCAATTACATCGACGGAGAGGTCGCTTGGGGTTCTTTCACTGAAAAGAATGCCACATAAGTACATCAACCTGTTGGCTCTGTTTTCGTAAACCTACGGGTGTGTTAGAATCTACGGTGAGTCACGTATGCCGAGTAGTACCCACTAAGTATGTCCAGTCTCTCCATTTTTATTTAGTTTTTGTCATATAGGTGCTTACGCATGCATCCCTTTCTTTATCTAAATTTAAAAGGATTGAAATGCGGCTATAGGAGATTCGTAGTAGACCTAGAATATGTAGATGACACACCCCAGTTATGTGAAGACGCTGAAAAGATTCAGCCTTCCGGATACAACGTTGGTGTGATTTTACACTGCTAATATAGAATGTGTGCTGAGTAGTATTTCTTTCTCTTCTACTATATGGCTATTAAGAGTGAAAAACTTAAATGGCTCGAGCAACTTTGCCTTAGTAGCTTAGACCGTGTCATTACTTTAGTGATGCAAAGTCAAGAGCAGAGTTTGAAGTAAAAGAGATACGTTAGTTGATGAGGTTTGAAACCTTTATCGACCTAGGTAGTTGAGACATGTATAACGCGTGCCTAGTTCTCCAAACTTATAATGTTAACTGAGATAGGTAGGTCTAGGCGGGAGGAAGGTTAAAAACAGAGAGAAAAAAACAGAATGAGTCTGATCTGAGCCACGGCTAAGGATCGTGTGGCAACAGAAACTAGTGGTTGAAGACTCAAGGTGATACGGTTCAGAACTAATCTCAGTGGGGTAGATACATCCACACCTTATTACATCTTAATAATTATCTTGAATTTCGTTAGTTATCCATTCTTCTTTTTGTACGACTTCCTAATACATTTTCTCGATATCTTACTGTCTTATTTCGTTGCTGCGCCTCATGATGAGCTCAGTTATGGTAACCTAGATCGTTACATAGGACTACCAGGCTTTATTCTGATGCCGACTGACGACAATAGAATGCATGGGCTTCAAGTGTTCACCACCATACTAATGTTCAGCCTAACCATTCTAAAAGAATACTGACAGTGACCAACTAGCTCATCTAAAGGATTCTACAGACTAATTGACGCAAGTACTCAGCAAAACTGAGTAGTCGTCCACTAAACGCATACAATCTTCGTGACGACCAGTCGTATAGGTTATTATATTACCTGGATTGTCTCCATCAGCGAGTTCCAACAAAACCCTTTCAATTAAAAGCATTCTATGTTGACGACGTGAAAAAGCGACTCTGAGTGGAAGTCATCCACTGTTCTCTGGTCAACAGTGAGTTGTATCGACGAAATATGTGCCAGACAAAAGAATGGGTAGTTTCATCAAGAATGTCGGTTGCTGGCAGAACCGCATTAGGAGATAGGACGTACAGGTACCTACACAGGCAGCAATCACAAAATATTCCATGATCTTATCAGCAATTCGGTTGCCCCCTAAAACAAGCAAGTATACAACTTACAGAAGGAAACCTTCACACAGACAATCACTATACCAAAACCTATAAGCAAGCAAATTGAAAAGGCACACGTGGTTACCGATGGATTATAGCCACAGAAAAAGAACCCAGTTTCCAGGCTAGAACTTGAGAGTTTAGAAAGTACCATCTCCCTTATTCACACTACTGATATTAGAAGGCGACTAATGCAAGCCGAGTAGCGACACACTCACATAAAATGCTAAGGCTTCTGATATCACTTGAATTCTCCAGCAAATAAGTAAATACTGTGATCCTCATTTAGGCTATATAATTTAGAGTGCGATCCACTAAGATGTGACCGCCACCACTCATTGTGTTCGGCAACCAATGATCTTAAATTGGGATCGGGGTTTCCCGTCAATTTCAACGTCCTTCGCACTACACAAACGCTGCTCACTAAACGACTGGAATTTTATATCGCCCAAATGATTAGTCAGCCTCCAATAAACTGCATAATCAGTGATAAACGTTTTGTCTTCATGTTAATAACCATTGCGTGCATGACCTGAATTTAATGGATCCCTTTTTATCAGAGTGCAAAACTTGCTGAAATGTATTGAGTACACATATCCCCCCCCAAAAAAAAGGAAGAAGACAACATACATATATAAAACACACTCTAATCTCTAACACGAAATAAGTGATTTTGGCAACGAGAATAACGAGTGATTGAAATGCACTCATACAAAGTAACTGACCACTATTCTAATGAAAACTATCCTGGAATTGCAAAAAACAAACTAGTACAGAAAACAAGAAAAGGGAGAATACAAACATTGAGATGATGAATACCGGGACATGACTAAAAGAAGTAACTATGGCCTATGATTCAGAAATGGATTCATACATGGTTACATAGTTGAAAATTAAAAATACTAATCGAGTTAACAATATGATATTTACTACCGTAGATTATTCATTTGTAAAATATAGTCAACCGGAAAGACAAATGCGGAGTAAGATAAAAAGGAAAGACTGTGTCGCCTAACACAAATCACTAACTAATTAGTCTAATTGTACAGGAAAGGCAAAAAGGTAAGATGAAGTGGAGGGGGGGGAAATAAGTAATCACAAAACTAAGGCAAATCATGAATGGTTAATTGTTATCTCCATATGGTCGTGGCAAAGTTACTAGTCTGGATATCAGCAAAACAGAATTGTTGACATGATAGATAACTGAAGAAATTAGAGAAACTGTTCTACACAAGATAGTAAAAGTCATGTCTACTTGTAAGTAAGAAATGAAGTCATAAGCATCATTTTTTTAAAACCTGAGAATGTGTTTCAATCAAAGTGAACAAACATTATGCTACTATATAAAAAATAAGTGGTCAAGGCTATTTTTCTAGGTATCATAACAAATGCTGCTAACTACATAGTGAATATAAGCACTTCATAAGGACAGCTGAGAGGTTAATGTAAAAGTGAGGTAACTAAAAGGCGAAAGATACACTATATGTATAAACAGTCTAAAAAATATTCATATCTGCGGGTTTGTTGAGTGCTTCACAAACGATTTCCATGTGGATAAAAGAAACTGCCGTAGTACTAGATACTGGTTAGAGTCGATCCCTTCTTTAGTTGACGTGGATAACGGCACTCCAATGTTGGACGAGTGTGCAACTGAAACACTACTGGAAGCTGGCCTCTTCATCACCTGAGAATGTTGAAGAGAACGAGTTGGAGATGGATTGATGCATTCATGTTTTGAGGGTAGATTATGACCTGCAGAATGAAGGTGGGCATTGGATACAGATTTAGGACGATTTGAATTGGTTAGAAAACAAGATGAAGAATGATTTGTATAGCTGGACTTTCTGCATAGGATATCTCGAGCACCTGTCAAACAGTTTGTTGTATGCGTAGAGACAGATTGAGCTTTCTCTTTTCCGTTCAGACATGTGTTATAACGTACAGAATGCTTAGGCATATTTACACTGAACCGGTTCGTGAAATGAATCTGTTGAGATGTGCTACTTGTATTGTTGACTGGTTGTGAACGGATGGATGAGCGAGAATTAAAGTCATGGTTATTGATCAACTTTTCAGAGGCACAAGAATTCTCATGAACAAGTTTTGATTGCTGTTGCTGCTTACGCCTTAGTCTTCTATTAGTTACAAGAGTAAAATCTTCATCAACATCATTAGTTTCTTCAACAATATAACTTACAGGAAAGCAGCTAGAGCTTTTCCGTATAAACGATGGATTTGACCGAGTGCTTATATTTGTTACTGGTGTTGTTAAGTTGTTGTCACTTTGGTCACTAAACAAGGCTCCTCGGTTTGTTTCTTCTTCTTCCTTGGTATTTTTCAAAGACGGATGATGTCCCATTTCTGATACACAATCACTGAAACAATCGGAATTCACCAGATTTTGTTCCTCAGCTTCATTACTGTCATCTGTTGCATCAGTGTCATTTTTCAGAGAAATTTTAGATTTACTATGTACAGTATCACCGTTCTCTTTAACAACAGTTTTCTTACTGCCTGACCGCTTGCCTCGAGAGTGACTTTTATCTCTGACAGAACTTAAACCGAATGATTGTGCATATGTGTGGCCATTCTCATGGAGATACTCCTCACTTTCCAATCTCATAGTATTTACGTTTCCATTCTGGAGCTTACTAAAAGCAGGATTTACAACATCTTGCTTACAAGAGAAATCAGGTAGGGTTAATTCGCAAATTGGTTTGTCACTGAAGTGCAAAGATTCTTCCTAAAGCAAAACAATGAATAAATGAGGAAATAAAAAGATAATAATAATAACGGAGATATGCACACTATGATTAACATGAAAAATTAGGTATATTTCGCTTCCCTGCTGACAAATTAACACACTAGTTGCAAAGTGAACTCACATATACTATTCTCAAAATATTTGCGCCAAAGCCTGGAGAAAGAGAAGGTTGGGCATAGAGCTAGCAACCCAACCTCGTAAAACCAATCCAACCGCTAAAGAAAGCGAAAGTAAGGATGGAGACATGGAATGTCTGCACTATATTTGAACCTAGCAGGGATGCCCAAATTGCAAAACAGATAAGAAGGTATAGCATAGAAGTGCTAAGAATCTGCGAAAGCAGGTGGAATGGGAGTGGACTCTCCAAACTGTCAACTGGAGAGTCAATAATCTACTCCGGTCACCCAGACGACAACCATGAGCATACTGAGGGAGTGGCTATCATGATGTCCCCGAGAGAATCGAAGGCTCTCATACAGTGGCAACCAATCTCCTCCAGGATCATGACAGCAAAGTTCAACTCAAAAAGAAGGAAAGTCACAATCGTACAATGCTACGCACCACTTCAAAAAGCTCTTGAATCGACCACCACCACTACCTGCAACCCGTACAAAAATACCACCTGCAGCCTAGTCACAGAACTACAACTGAACACAAGCTCTCCAACGAAAGTCGAAGTCCTGAACGCCATCAAGCTACTGAAATGCGGGAAGGCAGCACGACCAGATGGAATCCCTCCAGAAACACTGAGAACAGACGTAGGGACAACAGCGGACATGCCCACAACGCTATTGCAGAAGATCTGGAAGGAAGAAAAGGTACCTGGCGACTGGAAGAAGGGCTACCTTGTCAAACTCCCAAAGAAGGGAGACCTAGGCTTTTGCAAGACCTGGCGGGGAATCATGCTGCTGTCCACCCAAAGCAAGCAAAATATTAAGCCACATCATCCTAGAGAGACTAAAGGATGCGCTGAATTCAAAACTACGAACGGAATAGGCTGGATTCACGAAGAACAAATCATGTGTAGATCAAATTGCAACGCTACACTACGCATCATCATAGAACAGAGTATAGAATGGCAGTCAATTATCTACCTCAACTTCATCGATTTTGAAAACGCCTTCAACAGCGTCGACCGACAAGTAATTTGGCAACTGCTTCAACACTACGGTTTTAGTGCCACAAACCTTTATCAATCTCATTCAATAACTATATGAAGACGCCACATGCTAAGTAATTCATAATGTGAAGTTCAGTGATGACAGTGAAGACAGGAGTAAAACAAGGCTGCCACCTACTATCACCGATCATCTTCCTGGTTGCGGTCGACTGGATCATGCAGCAAACCACGAGGGGCGAGATGGACATACGCTGACTGGATCGATGAAATGACCCGAGAAGATTTGCACTTCGCCGATGATGATTTATGTTTAATGTGTTGTCGCTTAAACTCTAAAATTTACGGGCGAAAACCAACAAGTTGACAGAAGAGGCAGCGAAGACGGGACTTCAAGTGAACGTAGAGAAGACAGAGGTGATGATGATACCCAATCAACGACAACAAGCACCAATCACCATCAACGGAACTTAAAGGAAGTAGCCTCTTTCACCTATCTACCCAGCATCGTTTTAACTACAGGCGGTGGCGGCACAGACGAGGACGTCAAAACAGCCAGGATCCGAAAAGACAGCAGAACAGGCGTTCATTAATCTGAAACCAGTGTGGAGATTTTCTGCACTCAGCATAAAGCGTGAACAACATCTGGATTTTTAACACCAACGTCAGTCAAGTCAGTGCTTTTATATGGTTCAGAGACACGGCGCCTTACGAAAAGCATTTCCAACAAACTGTAGATATTCATCAACAACTGCCTACGCTGGCTTGTTACTGAAGCTCAGACGGCCAGAATAATAGGAATAAGCAACAAGGAACTCTGGCAACGAATCAACCAAGAGCCTATCGCTCAACAAATATGAAGAAGGAAGTGGAGATGGGTTGGATTAGTCATACACTGAGACATCACGCACCAGGCCAGTTGCTCGAGTGGAACCAAGGTGGGAAACGGCGAGTTGGGCGTCGGAGGTGAGGGTGATGTGGAGGAGATCGTGTGAGGAAGAAATGAAAACTTCTGGGCATTTGTGGAGCCAGGTTGAAAAGACTGCAAAGAGAGTGGAATGGAGGTGTGCTATTGAAGCCTTATGTTCCACTAGGAACCCAAGGGATAAATAAATAATAATAATAATAATATAAAAAGTACTTGAGAAATATCAAACAAAAGAGATTAAATACGGGTTAAATTATCAGGAACGAATATATAAAAGGGTAAAAAAAAAGTAAGTGTAATATCAGAGGTTCCTATCGCCATTATCACAACTCGTCAAACTCTTTAAAAATTGGAGGGTAGACAAATAAAATCAACGTAAAACCCAACACAAAAGTGCATCAGTTTACGTTGCTACACCTCATAACAGCATGTTAAAAAGAAGTGGATAAGAAAAGACTCAAAGTAGACAGAATTGTACATGAGGAAAAAGAAATTGAAAAAAAGGTTAATAAAATGTTCCAACGAGCTGTGCTGGTGGAACGCTTGTTCTCTCGAGGTCCAGAAAGGTCTGTTGGATAGTGATTAGACAAAAAACAGTTACCCTAACATGCTCTTAAACAATGAAGTTATGTATCACGATGGATAAGATCAGTCATCAGTGGTGATACAAGACCACAGGACGTATATCCGACCACACCTTCCATAATATAGACCAATTTTCGTGGCATTAAAACAACTGTGCGTGACTGGCTTCTAGCAGATGTCCCATGGGCTCTGAGATCGCGCACTACCCTTCACAACTCTGTCAGCACTCAAATTTCCTTCAAACCACTACCCACCTCTTCCATCCTTACCTTCCTATCTTCCTCCACGTCTATCAGGTAACAATCCTACATCATCTTCAATTTCTCCTACCTCTGCAGCTTTCGACAACGATCTGAGTCCATAGAACAGCACCCCTGGTCTCCCTAAACCACGCTCCAAATTACACACTGGAGCCTTCAATATACGCAACTTTCGTCAAATAGGCCAACAAACTTCATTGGCCAAAACTCTAGCAACTCGTACCGTGGATGTGTGTTGTCTTTGTGAGACACGCATACAAGACCCAAGTGCAGTTATTTACTTAACCTCTCCCGGTCAATATGATGAATCCGTAAAATCCACCCTTCGAGTTTCTGGAGATTCGATGGCTACCTCTCGCGGTCTTGCAGGTGTAGGCATAGCATTAGCACTACTAGACTGGATCCCAGTTGATAGTCGCCTCTGCCTTATCCGACTGAATAGCACAGTGAGAACTAAAATAAATAGTGAGACTCACCCTTGTCTCTTTGTAATCTCTACTTACACACCCACTGACTGCAGTTCAGATGAAGTGAAGGACGAGTTCTATCGTAAACTGTCTAGCCTCCTCTCGAAAGTCAAACGTTCGGACGTGGTGGTTGTTGCAGGTGACTTCAATGCACAGGTGGGTAGATTGAGTGAGGCAGAAAGGCATTTAGGTGGCACTTTCGGAATCCCGGATGAAAAAACAGATGACGGTGACCACCTACTACAACTGTGCTCAGATAACCGCTTATTTTTAGTTAGCACAAATTTCAGACACAAAGAAAGACACTGTCTAACGTGGCGTCCACCGAGCTCAACTCAGCGATAGACACAGACAGACTACATTCCTATTAGTCATCGCTGGAAAGGATCAGTAGAAGACTGCCACTCCTTCTGGAGTACGTGTTTGGATAGCGACCTTGCACTGGTTCGAGCACGTGTATGTCTACGTTTCAATGAACGTAAAAAACCTTTAGCAACAAGACCACTCTAGAGTGCCAAGGTCACTTCCAATAAGAAACTGGCTAGGCAGTAATCGGAACAGAACACTATCACTCGTCCAGAAGAAGCTACCTGCCATCTTTAGTCTGCTGTAAGAACAGTGCTGAAGACCAGCTCACTCTCAAACAGTGGTTAAAAAGTGCCAGTGGATATCAACAGCTTCTTCCGAACTAATGAACGCATGCCTCCGGGCTGAGTACAATGAAGAGCGAGTGCAACTTAAAAGTAGATTGAGAAAAAGTCTACGCAACGACCGCAAACAGTAGTGAGCACAGAAGGCTAAAGAGATGGAAAAGGCAGCGGCGGTTGGTAACAGTAGACAGTTATTCAAACTTACCAAGGAAACTGCGACGAAAAGGTTAGTGAGACTATAGCGGCGAAAGATGTTTCCGATTCACTTACAGGAGAGACGACTAGGACGATTGATGGGACACTTCAAGGAACGGTTCAACTAGCCTTCAATTGCTATTGCGTTGCCCGCTATCCAGTCGGATCCTGAATGGAACATTGAGATAGGACCCCCAACACTAGTAGAAGTTGAGAAAGTGGTAGGTCACTTGAAAAAAGGAAGAGCAGCTGGGCCAGATGAAGTAGTTCCTGAAGTGTATAAGGACAGTGGTATAGTGATGTTAGTCAAGTTAACTGAAGTATTAACTAGTGCATGGGAGTCAGATATGATTCCCGCTGACTGGTCTGAATTACTGATCATTCGTCTTCAAGAAAGGTGAAAAGTCGTCTTGTGATAACCACATGGGAATCAGCCTGACGAACATAGTATCTAGGATTCCAGGTTCTATAACCATTAGACACCTGAGTGGAGTTCAGGAACAGCAAGCCCTAAAAAACCAGGAAGCTTCAGACCTGGTTGTGGAACATAGGCACGATTACCGACGCCCGACAATAGCTGTATTTCTCGACCTGAAGGTGGCATTTGACTCCGTTGATCGAAAGGTCTGATAGCAATGTCTCTCACTAAAAGGGGTACTGAGTAAGTACATAACCTTATCAACGGCTCTTTACTTGAATACTTGTGAGCGTGTTACAGCCGGTGATCAGACATCGGGTGAGTTGTGTACGTCGAGTGGTGTCCGTCAAGAACGTCCACTCCCTCTATTCCTATCCAATTTTATCACAGATGTTCTTATTGAGGTCTTCTAGACATTCAACTATACACGGATTAACTTAATCATAGGAGAAGTTTTGGTAGACCTAGAATAAGCAGATGACAAAGTCCTGTTAGGTGAAGACGCTGACGAGATGCAGAGTCTTCTGGAGACCTTGGACTGCAATTCGAGAATGTTTGAGATGAGTTTTTCGTCACCCAAGTGCAAATTGTCGCTCCAGGACTGGTCCCCGATGACATCCCGACTAACAATAGTGAAATGGTTGAGCGCATTGAACGCTTCACTTGCCTGGGAAGTGGGATTAGCCCTGCTGGGTCGTTGGCCGACGAAATCTCTGCACGGACACAAAAGGCTAGGTTGGATTTTGCCAACTAACGTTATCTATGGCCCCGCCGCAATATCCTTCTGTCTTTTAAGGGTCGGGTGTACTGTGCTGCACAGTTCGCTCTGCTCTACTGTATGACTGCGAGATATAGCCATTGAAGGTAAAAGACATGAGAAGGCTACAGGTGTTTGAACGCCGCTGTCTTCGTAGAGTAGGGCGTGGTTTTGTGATGTAACCACATGAGTAAAGCAGACGTCAGGTGTAGAGTTTTAGGAGAAGAGGTAAGTCAGTTGACATGGTTATGAACCTTCATCGACTCAGATGGCTGGCTCCGACATATGTTACGGATGTCTAGTCACCTTCTGCCTCATCACACAATGTTGGCCGAAGCAAATTGAGGCTGAAAAAAGGCTTGAGGCGCCCAGACTAAAATACGGCATCAATGCATGAAATCCTTGGCTGTTGGTTTGAGCTACGAAGGGCGATGTAGACTAGCTGGTTGAGGTCCGTGGGAAAAGAGAAACCAGTGGTTAGAGACTTTAGGTGATATGGCTCAGAACCGACGTCAGTGGCGCAGATGCATACACAAACTATTCGCTTCACTTTATCGTCCCTTTTTTGTTTCACTACTGTCTACTTCCTTTCATCTATTTTTCCTTCATCTTCCATTTTATTGCCTTTTTACTTGCTGTGCTGATATGAGGTATGGCAACTTGGACCGTTACGCGGTGATGCTTGGTCCTATGTTGACCTTGATGATGATGGACCCTGGAATCATGGATATATTGGTTAAACCGACCCCCCTATGGCTGTCACAAGAAGGCTTAGCTCCCATCTTTTACACTGGAATGATCAGAGAACTAGACCAGTCTGCCAGGACTTTCTCTGATTCCCATACACTACTTAGTACTTCAGTTACTCTATTCAGTAACTCCCTACTTCTATTGTTGAAAACTTCCGGTGGCAAACTGTCAGGTCTTGCTGTGTTTCATCTTCTCGGGTTTGAAACAGCCTTTCCAACTTTGACGGTAATCGGACCGACACTTATGTTCCACTCAGGTTCAGGATGGATGCTGGGCAACTGAAGCGTTGCTGTGAGGCATTTGAACTGTGCTTTAGAGCGTTCCACCCAACATTCTACATTTTTGTCCTGGGAAGTTATTAGAGGCCAATTCATTTAGGTGGTTTCACTCACCATCATCTTCTTCCCGCCAGTATCGTCAATAAACATAAGTAATTGCCGGATATTACTTAATGCTGATGCCTTCTCATTCTTTTTCAAACGTTTGTAACACCTATGAAATTTGGTGAGTGTACCATGAGCTTCGCAAACCGTCTCACTGACACGATATTGTTTCTGGAGGCTCAGATGAATTAGAAGATTATTGGCAGATACAGTTACTGCTTTCACCTTACTAGTGCGTTTTGATCACCAAGTCCCAGTCCATGCTTGTTGCTTGATTTGGCGTATAGGGGACTTAAGCACACCGTTGAAACCTTTGCCAATCGGAATACGCCGATGAGCGCCAAGACATTTCAAAGAACTCAAAGAGACTCAGAGTTTATTAGTCAGACGTTCCCGAAGCCCCAGGCAGCTTTATTCTTGTAAGTGAGGAGAATGATCATCTATACTCCCTGGATGTTCTACAGCGAGCTGTGGCTCATTAAATTAGGTACTTGAATCTCGACAGATGGGTTACAGGTTCAAATCCAGCTCCACTTACCGAGGTTTGGGCAGCCACGTAGTATCATAGTCCCTCATACACTAGGTGTGGCCCATTGCCTAGTGTGCGAATGTGCACATGACTTTTGAGTAGGTCTTTTACATAGACAGCCGGCCTTAAATCTAGCTCGGTCTAACATTTCATTGCAGTACTAAGTGGAACCAGTTTGCTTTCGTTGACACATTCTGGGCGATGATTTCAACTACCAAAATGCAAGATGAACGTAGCACACATTAAGCAGTAACGTAGTCGGATCTGAGAAAAACTGTAGACGTTATCCGCTATCCGACCTGCAACCGAAAATCTGTTGGGTGCATCTGGTAGAAAAAGTCACTTAGGTGATGATAGATCTCATTCCTAAATGCAATCGGAATGCTGTCATTCGGCGTTCAGGTAGAAATGACTTGACTCCAAACATGCTCAGACTTTCGGCAAACATAGATTTTGAATTTTTACTACTGTGAAGTTTTCAATATTCTATTATGATTGTTTCTTTTACTCATCACCATTTGTAGATTGGCTCCATTTTATGTTTTCAGGTAACACGAGTTATACTCAGAAACCTCCTCTGAAGTGAGGCAATCCACTTCATTTGAACTCATTAACTACAACACCAGAATAAGCCTACAAGCTGAACAACTAACAGCCTTATTTTGGTTACTCACTACTTTATTATCGGGTGTTTTGTGCATAACCGCAATCCACAGGTCTGAAATCAAAGTTCATATGAAATTCATGTAAAAAAAAAGTCGTGCCAACGATGTGGCAGAAATAGCCATAAATGGAAACGAGAGAACACTGTTCTACTCCACCCAAACCATACACAGATTTGTAGAAATGTTATTAAAAGTGAACTATCCCAAGTAGATGCATGATGATGCAATAAAAACCGGTATCCTTTCACAAGGCTACGAGTAACGTCTACAAAGCTAGCTAGCCTGAAGTGGGGAGGATGTGGTACATATAAATCGAAGGTTGGGAGCCAAAACCCCCAAAGTTTACGCATCACGACGCCATAAATAAAAACGGAAAGTAGATAGCATTACAACGACAAGATCAAATAAGATGAGGTGATATGAACGCAAAGCAGCAAGACGTTAACTGTTTCAGTAAAGGCGTAGATTGAATATATTTGGATTGCTATAAAGAAGCAGAGGGTATATTGCAGACTACTGGTTTCTGCCACTTTAAAGTAAACAACCAAAAGACATACGGTTAACATGAGACCTGGCATTGCTGAGAAACGGTAAGTCTCCACATCTTACAATATGCATACCTCAAAATGATAGAGAAGTAGAAATAATGAAGTCAAAAGTTGCAGACAACCCTACAAAGCGAAGAAGGTATAAAGTAAGCAACTTTGATGAATGAGGATTAGAATGAAGATAAAGTGTGAGTTTATCTGGGCTACTGGGGTCCATTTCACGCCATATCACTTCGTCTTTAGCTATCGATTTCAACTGTCATGAGGATCCCAATCACGAAGTTAAACTTCTCACTTACACAGTTTAGTCAAAGTCAAAGGATTCAAGAACACTATGTTTTACTGAACCCTAAATTAGCTGACGCTGCGTGAGGTCAACAGTGATTAGGCACACGGAACTTATCTCTCAAATATCCATCGATGAAATTTACCACCATATCAACTGATTTATCTTTATTATGAGAACTAAAGCGAAATGCGCTCAGCAATAATTTGCACACTGTTGCAGTAGGCAATGAACCATAACTATTGCGTGAGGGCTAATGGTACTGCCTGGTTGCCCAAAACCTCGTTAGGTGGAGCAGTGTTTAAACTCGTAACCCATTGGTTGAAAGTCAACTTCCTACACAAATGAGTCGAAGCTCATAAACGACGCTGTGTAGTTCAAATACACAAGGACTAGGTTTATAGATTGATGTCATTTTGGCGTAGTCACTAATTACCAACATCGATACTTGGCTTTCAACCACTAGGTCAGGGGTTAGAATCCCACCCTTTTTACTAAGGCGTTGACTAAGTGGTATAAACACAAATGCATGGTAAGTAGCTTTTAACCCAGAGAATGCAGCTGCTAAGTTCAGTTTATTTTGATGTTATGCTTAGGGTTTTTGTAAACTCCATTGCATCCAGTTGACACTGCAATAGATATCTTGATTTATCGGCATATCGCCCGGCAGCTTACGTCTCTACAGGATCAGCAGTTGTCCAACACGTAAATAATGTTCAACAAATACAGTGGGAAAAAAAATATTTCTTCAAGTACCAACCACGTTTCTCTAAAAACATGTCACAACATTGCTTAATTTCGTCCCCAAAGAACCCCTTTTTCTCAAGAATAAAAAGTATGTCCTGAATTGGTGTGACAGTCACTAAAGTGTTTGCGGAATAGTTCACAGTTAATTCCTATACTAAATACTCTCGATCAGTTGAGTCGTCAAGATAAAAAAAGACAAGTATAAAGATATAGTCCCAATCGACATACTTGTTTTAAAACAGGTGAATATAGCAACTCAGTAGCCTAGTGTTCAACGTAATCAGTGCCTTATTGGGTTGAGTCCAGAAGGGACGGAAATCCCAACTTATTTACACTTAGGTCCCAAAAAACGAAATATGCAACTTAAAATCGATAGGCAATCATAACCCAACACGAGCAGGAGGTTTTAAATGTGAAACAAGTCAGAAGTGTAATGTAAACGGTAAAATACTTTACCATAGTTGAGTTTGAGATGGCTTCAATGTGAATTAAGGCATCTCTAACTAGGCCTGGAATGAACAAAAAATTATTAATTCTCAAGATATTAAATCTAAGTAGTGGTATTAAGGGTCAAATGTGGATAAACATAGGTGCATGTATACTGCATTGACATAATTACACACTCACCGTAAAAATTGGTGGTAAGTCAGCCGTCTGTTCAACTATTGAAAACGAGGATATTATTAGTAAGAAATTTCTTATTACCTGAGTCACTATTCAGTGGAATGTCAAAACCAAACAGCGCTTTTGAAAAATGGAAACCCGAAGAAAGAGGAATCGACAATAATGCGTTGTTATTCAGTGACAGGTCTGTAAGATTAGCAATCAAACTTCCGGAGGACGAATAGGTTTGACGTAGTAGTTGGCCAGGAAGGGAACACGTAGGCATATCTTCCAAGATGCGCAAAGAATTTTGAGAAGACACTGAACGAGGAGTCATGCGTGATATGTTATCCCCAAAATGGCCTTCACTAGTAAATCCAAGTTTTCCTTTAAATGAACGAATCCTGGACTTCACCGGGATGCACTCATCGTATAGTCTGTCTATGGGGTAGGGACAAGGCTTTGATGTAACTTCTGATAACATTCTTTTTGGAATATGACCATTATGTTTGCTTCCATCAGGTATAACAGGGTTTTCGATAGATTTGTGCCCGGAAACAGTAGCCAGACGTTTTTTAAGCTCACTTATAGTCGGGGATGATACTCGTGGGGTCTTGACTTCCTCTATATCTGTGATTTCTACTTCTTCATCAAAGATATGGTCAGTTTTTAGACAGAAGGAATCCGTAGTACCATTGGAAATGAAGTCATCTGAGTCAGAAACTTTTCTTGATTCAGCACTTCCTATTGAATACGATCCATTGCATTCGGATTTTACAGCAAAAGACCGGAAACCAATGTCGAGGAATGGAGAGGAAAGGCTTTCGTACGCCGCCACAGTAGTCCCACTCATGAGCAACAACCTAAGAATAAACTGGGCGCTCACTCAGGCTACCGAAAAACATCTTTTTACAACAAGGGTGATTGAATCGACACAGTAAAACAAGTTAACTTCACAGCTGCTTTGATAGGATTTATTGAGTAATGCGTTATGCGCTAAGTTGCCATAGTCAATACCACAGAATACTACTCGGGTGATGTGCCTTTGACCGCCTCATGCACTGTGAGTGACCCGTAAATTTGGGTGGACCTGGGGTTTACCAGTTGCTTCCTGGCTAGTGGATGTGATGTATGTAGCTAGGTTGGCTTTGGAGGAACCTGGTTTCCATTTCTTCGTATAGGCATAAGCTGTCTTTGATATAGTAATTCATTATCATGCAAAGAAGCTATTTCAGTTGGTGTGTGCAAAAGCTTTGAACCCCCCTTCAGTAACTGCATAATCGCTGACATTGTTGCTTGGGCTTGCAGTAGCGCTCCTTTACGACTTTTCCTGAGGGTTTATTATGAGGCATAGTCTTAGACAGGCCGGACTGCACTGGACGTGACGTTACGAACTCTCGTATTTCACAGTTTTCATCAGGATGAACTAATCTGATGTTCGTATCATTTTTAATCTTGTGAAGGGTGATAGAAAAGTTGCTATCGCCCTCATCCGTAAATGTAGCATGAATCATCTTACCAGGCTTCTTAAATGCGTTTCCATTTCCACCATGTCAATCAATGAAGTATTTATTAAGTCTTTTTCAAAATCAGTGGACTTATGAATGTAAATCCTGGCTGCATTTCATCCGGCATTTGGTTGAATTTTTCGGTAATCCTCGGTGTTACCGCCTCAAACTTCTCTTCACGGAGTGGCAAAAATCCTTGAAATTCTTTGACGGGAAGACTTTTCATTTATCCCATCTGTAAACGGGAAGAGGCGGTAAGATAAAGGCCCACTGCAACATCAGAAACACATGCGAAATGCACTGTTACAAGGGCTTTGGTTATTCCAGGCCTTTCTAGATTTGGATATTCAATTTGTTTCTGTCCCTTCAGTCAGTTTGATATTTGCACATTGGTTCACTTATTTTGCTCCCAAACTTCAAGACCAAAGGACTGGCTGAAAAACGCCTCTGGGATTCACAGTGTTATGAAGATTTCGGCACTTCATAGTTTATGCTAAAGAAACAGTGAGCTGATTGTTCCTTTCGTCCCGACTTTGCGTCACTGAGAAGTGCTTTTCACATGGAAGGATCACAGTTGAGAAGTTGCGAGATTTTTGGTAGTGCCGAAGTGTTCGATTCACAGATGAGCTCCTTTTCCGTATTGAATATGTTCGTTTGAGATAGGATGCAATAGTAAGGTATTGTTCACCGGAAAAGCCGCACGAACCAGCAGCCTGTTAGAGGGACTAGAAAGTCAGTTCGGAAGCCCAGCCAAGACTGCGTGAGATACCTTCAAACAATTATGTGCTTGTTGGATTAAACCATTCATTCCCTGGACTGTCCAGAAGAAACAGAAACATTGTTCTTCACTAATTAACCACAGAAACCAAAGTTTCCTACTGTACAAGAAAAAGTGATGGACTCTTGCCATTCATTTTGAACTCTCAGAGTGAAGAAACATTACGTAGGCACCTGGAAAAATTGGGTAACTACCATCCACCGGTCCCGAATACGCCTTAAAAGACATCTTTCATCGGACAGCGGTTCAACACCCAAAGAGGTTATTTTCTTATATGGATGCAGGAATAAATCTTATTGTGGGTTACGCATTCTAATTAGTGAGGGAAAATAACTATGTAGTCAAGGACAATAAAGATACAGCCGAAGTTATGGCCGGATATTTTGACGAGGTATTCACCCAGGAACCTTGTTTGGACACTAGTTCAACAGTAGAAGCACTGACTTCAAACGGAATGAACCCTGTGACCAACGACTGGAATGAGGCATACAAGAATTTAAGAACTCTGGACATCGGAAAATCAAAAAGGCCCGATCAGCTCCATCCAAGACCGCCCAGAAGGGTCACATTCTGTAGAGCCGGCCCACTGACGGCTACATTCACACTATCTCTCAGTGACGGCAGACTCTTATATGCCTGGAAGAGTGCTATAGCTACACCTGTCCATAAGGCAGATTCTAAGCGAGGGGTATCAAACCGCCGGCCGATAAGCTTGGCTAGAGCTTTAGTTAAATTCCTGGAAAGGTCACCCGAAAAGCCGCAGCAGCTCATCTATAATGATAAATAAGAACTGCGGACAAATGGCAATGCATTTTTTATACTGTTCACGTTAAGGTATGAAGCATTATGAAGGAGGTACATTCATTGTTAGATGAAGTGCCAGAGAAGTCTGTTGCAAAGCATTATTGTGAATATGTTCACTTTAAGTTTAATAGGTGAGTTGATCTCCTGGATTTCACTGCCTGTCCAGATTTTCTCTGCCATTATGACCGTCCAGGAATTCCAGTAATTCGAGGATTGATAAATGTCCATATGGTGAGAGAGTCAAATGAATGAATGGTATTGGTGATACCTACCTATTGGACGGTAATTTTCGTGAGAGCATAGTTTCATTGCTTCGAAAAGAATTGGGATGCCTAGAATTGGTAACGTATACTCCTCACTTGTGTCTTGTTGTCATCACTGGAGGTTATCTCGATGATGTGGGCATTCGAGGATCCAAGTTAAATCTCTTGTTTCTTTCAGCCTTCAGCCTTCGTACAGCTTATTCGGTAAGTCCTCATCATAGTCCAGTCTCTTCATAGCCTAATGATATTTTCATGTTGCAACCGCCTGAAATTTTGGTAGAAAAACAACAAAAGCAGGTGTAGCCTCTGCACCTTTGAGGTTGGAAACTGTTTAAATATTGGGTGTTCCTAATATATCTGTAGTTCTAGTAGCAGTATTAGTGGTGCTTTTTATGCTGCCGTCCTGTAGCGTAGAGTTAAGATATCTTATAAACCTGGTCAGAGTGTTTGATTCTCGTGCTCCCCTAGGTTAGCCGTTCCATATTTGAGCATATTTTATCATAAAGAAGTTCTCCCAAGTGACTGTTCTGAAATGCTCAGTTGCCACTGTTGCAGTTACATTTCTTAACCCATAAGCAGTTTTGTTCATGAACCACATGTCTGTGAATGTGCTGTAAGTTGACTTGTTAAGGAGCTTATAAAACAGTGTTAGGTTCGGTCTGAGCCCTCGTTTCTATAGTGGTTCAAGTCCTAGGATGTTCTCCCGGTGGCATATTTTACGTCCTTATCCGTGTTGAGTATTCTCATCGTAAAGTATCTCTGCACCCCTTCGACTTTCAGTCTATCCGTAACCCATATATTGCTGTAGATAAATGAACGGTCTAGACTTATTTTCCCCGGTAAGTCACACAGAGGCAGGTGCCATGGTAATCGGTTAGAGCCTATGTGGTTAAGGAGAATAGGGTTGAACCTCAGCATTTTCTATAAAGTCCTACACCGTGAAGTGGCTACCAGTGTGGATACAGTAAAGTCCGCTGTCAAAAAACCACACGATCTTAGAAACCGAGACTGTTTAGTCACACTAACATATGCGTCTAAACAGCTCAAACCCTCATTTTTCACAGCTCGTTACTGTAACATTTGGAAAAGACTGCTGCATGACATCCGATGCTGCAAGACCGTATCTCGATTTTAGTCAACCTTGAGTCACTACCTCAGTGAACTGAGTATGCAGGGTTCTTAATGTACCCTACGTAGAGGACACCATGTTCCTTACTGGTTCACCAAATATCGAGAGTCCAGTATGCAGTAATCTAATACAACCACCCAAGAATTTATCAAACTGTGGACAATTTTTGTTGAATTACGTACCATTCTATGCGAATTTGTGGCAATTGTGTTTAATGCTGGTTACTGTTCCCAACCTCAACACTGCCATAGTTCAGCCGTTCCTAACCCCTCCTACAGATAAACATTCCGCCCACCATCCCCTTTTCTCTCTGTAATAAGTTGGGAGTCTTTGTGCTGTACAATAGTGCAGGTCAATTTTGCATCATAAATCAAGTTTGGCCATGCATGGATGGAGGTATAGTGGTCATAAGTGTTACCTGATTTGTGGTACATGCCACGGGATGACTGAGTCGACAATACCAGCACGGTCTTAGCTAGCTGGCAGTAAGAAAGAAATATTTTCGTAACCATCAACGCTATTGAGCGCAACACAAAAGTATTCAAAAATTTAACGTGAAAATATGCGGAGATGGTGATAACTGACCAACGTGCACGATGGCAGGGAGATAAACTTGAACTATCTTTGCCCCTATGGTGATATCTTTATGAAGCCTACGCCCTTGTACTTATGATGACAAAAAAATGGTAAAAAGAATGGTTAGCAGAAGCGTCCTCCAGGTCAACCAGTTCTGCTTACTCTGCACCACCACACTGTTTTCATAGCCGTGATATGTTAACCTCGACAAGCGACACTACAACCACCCCTCCCCCACGACTACATAAATCGTGGTTACCATTGTAGCAAAAACCAAGAGTTTTACTTCGTTAAACTTTTGTACACAGGTTTTCTGCACACAAACGAATATCCGGTCCAAAATCCCCTATTCTCTATCCCATAGTGACATCTTCGGCTTCCGTTTAGTTTCCACTACTTCCGTATGGACCTTCATCTTCTTCCTCATAACCTTACCTCTATACAGTTGGTTTTGGATACTTCTTCAAGCAACTTTTTCGGTCAGTACGACGAACCCATCTACATGTATCGTGGCTGATATATTTCTGCGTAGTATTTTTGTGTTCCTGTTTCGAATTTCGCCTGCCGTTCGCTTTTGTTATTCATTTTTCAGGTTTGCCTAACCAGTACTTCACCCATATGGAATCCTAGTGGTCTGATCTGTCAGCGTGCACTATACCATCTAGACCCTATGATGAACGCACGCAATCCAAGGTCACGGCTGTACTACCTGCCCTACCTTCAGGAGTATTGAAAGATCCAAACGATGGCCGAATAAGTCCCATTTTCCATCTGAGCTTGCTTCAGTATGATGAACAACTATTTCGGTATTTAACTGTTTAATTCTTTGCTGTCTGCGAAGCACTAAC